TTCACTATGTTGGCCAGGCTGGTCTTGAACTTCTGGCCTCTGGTGATCTGCCTGCCTTGGCCTCCCAAATTGCTGGAATTACAGGTGTGAACCACCATGCCCAGTCACCCCTTGCTTTTCAATAAATGTTGCCCACCTTCACTCAAGTTGTTTCCCCTGCCTGGCATACCCTCCAATCTGAAATCCCTGGAAGGGCCTAGCTCCACCTGTGCCTCCTCTCTGAAGCTTCTGTGTCCACCCAGGCCCTTTGCTGAACTCAGAGAGCCTACCTGTGCCTGACCCCCGCCCCTAACACCGTGCTAAATTCTCTAATCCTCATCACAGTTGATTAGGATGGTATTATTTACTCTATTTTGCTCAAAAGGAGACCAAAGAAAGCTCACTTAGCATAGAGAGCTCCAGCTGTGATTCAAACCTTGGTTTGCCTATTGACAAAGTCAAAATTCTGTCCCCCGAAATCTCCTCTCAGGCAGGTGACGCGGCTGACAGGAGACCACCAGCCCCTTGCAGACAGGAGCCACATCTTGTCCAACTTCACCTTGCACGGCTGCTTACAAGGGCAGGTAAGGTGACCATGGCTTCCCAAGCTGGCCCCACGTCACATCACTCAAGTATTCGGTTTCGGAGCTTCTCAACAGGGGCACACTTAGAATTTGAGGTGAGTCAGTTCTTCACTGGGGAGATCTATCCAGAGCCTTGAAGGATGTTTAGCACCCCTGGGCTTAAAATGCCAGGAGACTCCCAGTTACTGAGACAACACACATCATGGCACCTCTAGAGAAGGCATACAGGACTGGGGATACCATGCCCAGGAAGACCAGTCTACGGCATGAATAACCACAGAGGACCAAACCTTGGACTTGGATCAAATGGTCCCAGTTCCACCATAAACTAGCTATGGAAACTTGATCATGCCAGGCTGCAGCCTCTTGGAGGCTCAGTTTCCTTATCCGTACAACGGGGGTGACAAGAATCCACAGAGAATATACTGTGGGTCCTGGCTCAGCCACCTGTCAATAACAAGCTATTGACTTTTTTTTTTTTTTTTGAGACAGTCTTGCTCTATTGCCCAGGGTAGAGCACAGTGGCACAATCTTGGCTCACTGCAACCTCCGCTTCCCAGTTTCAAGCGATTCTTGCACCTCAGCCTCCAGAGTAGCTGGGACCACAGGCACGTGCCACCACGCCCAGCTACTTTTTGTATTTTTGGTAGAGATGGAGTTTTACCAAGTTGCCCAGGTTGGTCTTGAACTCCTGAGCTCAAGCGATCGCCCCACCTCGGCCTTCCAAATTGCTGGGATTACAGGCGTGAACCACTGCACCCGGCCAACAAGCTATTCACATTTAAACCTACCAAGCTTTCCATAAAATTAGTAACCAAGCAAAATGAAAAATCTCTTATTATATAATTAATCCAATTTTTTTTTTGATAGAAAAAAGCAGAATCCCCTGAAGACAAATGTTTGGTGACAATTTGTTGAGCCAATGTTTTCCTAGAGAGAACAGCCTGTCTAAGGAGATCTAACAATCACGTCACTCAGACACAGTCCCCCTGGGCTTAGGAATTGGCAGAGGAGAGAGAAATGACTTCTGGAGTCCAGACTGCAGGTTTCCAGGCTGGAGGGGTTGGTGGAAGACCTGAGTGAGACAAACAGTAGGTATCCCACCACTTATTCCCCCTGGCACAGGACCCAGATTCCAAAACCACAATCTCACTCCTGAGGGCGGCTTCGTACACTGAAGGAACCCACAAGAGATAGGCAGACAGACAGCCTCGCAGGAGCCTCGGAGGAGGTGGCATCAGCTTTACAGGTGGGCAAACTGAGGCTCAGAGAGGGGAAATGACTTACTTGAAGTCCCAGAAAAGCACCAGGAGGCCCCCAGCTGCGAGCTGGGGAATGAGGTCATAGGATGAGCATTTTAGAAATTATGCAGGGAGGCCGGGCGCAGTGGCTCAAGCCTGTAATCCCAGCACTTTGGGAGGTTGAGGTGGGCGGATCACGAGGTCAGGAGATCGAGACCATCCTGGCTAACACGGTGAAACCCCCTCTCTATTAAAAATACCAAAAATTAGCCAGGCGTGGTGGCGGGTGCCTGTAGTCCCAGCTGCTTGGGAGGCTGAGGCAGGAGAATGGTGTGAACCCGGGAGGCGGAGCTTGCAGCGAGGCGAGATTGCACCACTGCACTCCAGCCTGGGCAACAGAGCAAGGCTCCGTCTCAAAAAAAAAGAAAAAAAGGAATTATACAGGGAACTGGCAGTGCCATCCAGGACTGGGATGTGGCCCCAGGTCTCTTCTGGCAGGAGTTACAGTGACTGCCTCATGGCTGCGAACGCTTCTGCATTCCTTTATCGCCCCCACCTGGATTATAAAATCAGGTGCCCTACTGTTTGGAGCTTGGAAAGGTTAGTGTGGAGTTCTGGTGGTTGGCACCTAATGGAGGCATTCTCCAGGAGGAAAGATTCCTGCTGAAGCCAGACTAAATGGGTCTAACTTGCATATTCTCCAATCCTGTCGGTCACCCTCAGTTTCTTAGTGGACCCCAAGGCCAAGTCCAGAGTAGGAGCACATCTCTCCTGGAGTCTCCAGCCCCATCATTTCTCCTTCTGGACATTCTACAGTTTCCAGTCACATTGAAAGTCCCTTCCTTGGAGAAGCCCTTTCTGACCCCACCCAGGCTAAGCCACATGTCTGCCCTCAAGGTACTCAGCACCGGGGCACTTAACTCCAAGGACAGGAACTATGTGCTTGACCTGTTCTCCGCCAGATCCTCAGCCTCTGGCAGCTCACTCAGCACATCGTAGGTCCCCAAAGCATTAGCCCAGATGATCCCGGGAAGCTAAGGGAGAGGCCTAGGAGCCCAACAGCCTTTCTAGGGAGGGAGGGAGACCTGTAGGAGCCCCCTTCGGGCAACTTTCTTAATCTCTCTGTGCCTCACTTACTTATCTGTAAAATGAGGCTTATCTGCGTGTAAAGTACAAAGTGTAATACGTGAGAACATTCACTGTCTACAACTGTGGTTCTGGTTGTTCGTTTTACAGGCAGGGACATGGAGGCCCATGGAGTACCTGGCAGGCCCACAGTCCACAGGTTGGAAACAGGTGCCCGAGCCCTGGACTTTAAGCCTGGGCTCTGACCTTCGACGTTTGCTTTTCACACTACACATCATGTCAATAAATAGTTACTGGACACCTGTTGTGTGCCAGGCCCCAAGACGAGTGTTGCGTGACTGACAACAGAAAAAGCTTCTCAGTGTGGAGGGGGGAAGCTAGATCATGGTCATCAGTGTAAATCGTCCAGGGTTCAAATTCCAGCTTCTCCACTTCCTGGCTATGATTTTTTTTTTTTTTTTTGAGACGGCGTCTCGCTCTGTCGCCCAGGCTGGAGTGCAGTGGTGCGATCTGCGCTCACTGCAAGCTCTGCCTCCTGGGTTCACGCCATTCTCCTGCCTCAGCCTCCCGAGTAGCTGGGACTACAGGCGCTCGCCACTATGCCTGGCTAATTTTTAATATTTTTAGTAGAGACGGGATTTCACCTTGTTAGCCAGGATGGTCTTGATCTCCTGACCTCGTGATCGGCCGGCCTCAGCCTCCCAAAGTGCTGGGATTACAGGCGTGAGCCACCGCGCCCGGCCCTGGCTATGATATTGCTAAGTTAACCTCTAAGGTTCTTTTCTTTTCTATTAAAAGGGAAAAATAAGACCTCCCAACAGGAGAAGTGAAACCAGGCATTGGCTTAACACGTGATGGATGGGAGCCGTGACTATCTTCATCATCTTATTTTTAATTATCTACCTCTGCACAGGGTAGTAAATTTCTCGCCCTGGCCCAGGTACCCAGGATCCCAGTTCTCCTGTCGGAGACAACCGCAATTAACAACTTCTTATGCATCTTATCAGACAGCTGGCGCGCACACCCGCAGATACCCCCACCCTCACGCGTCCTTCTACGCAAAGATGGACAGCACTCATCAACGCTGTTTTTTCTGTTGCTTCCTTTTCTAACCTAAGGTATCTTAGAAGTCGCCCTATATTGGTGCATATTCAACATTTTTCGTCTTAATGGCTGCACAGTACTCCATTGTATGGATTATTTTTTAATTTGGTTGCCGTTACTGTTATCAGCCAGGGAATTTTCGAGGACCCAGGGAGATTCATGGAGCTGCAGAGCTGGAGCCTGGGGACCCAGTTCCAACCCCAGATCTGCCCAGAATTCCCTGTTGTCTCGGGTGCCATCTCCACCGGCGCGGTCGTGGGAGGGGGATTTGGGTGCAGAGAGGACCAGCTCCAATGTCCGAGCGAGGATCGGCTAGCAGCACGCGCAGTTGATTCCCGCGGGCGGCTCAATCATTCTGAGCAGCCAACTCCGTTATCCTTAGTAGCGTCAAACTCATTAAGCACTCTAGCACAACCAAGCTCGGAACCGTTAGCAGGCCCTCCCAGCCTCGGCACCTGACCTCCGGGCAGTGACGCTCCGACACAGCTACTCACCCCCGCCTGGGCCGCTTCACCTCTCGTTCCCAAGTACACCCGGTAGGTTGCAGCAGTCCCTGTCCCTTTAAGGGGGCCGAGCCCGGGCTCCGCTACTTCCGCCCCGAAGCAACAGGGCGGTAGCGCGGGGGCGAGAGCGGGTGAAGGCGCAGCTAGAGTTCCCCTCATAAAGATGGCGACGCCCTGGCCGCCGCGTTCGCGCCTGGCGGTGACGTCACTTCCGGGGCGGAGGAGGCTGAGTGGTGCAGTGAGGGACAAACAAAAGGAGGCGCCGGAGCAGCGCTGCGGTCGGCGGCGGGACGGAGCGGCCGGGGCCTGGGGCTGCCTGCTGGGCGGCCGTGCGCGGCGAGCCCAGGTGAGTGGAGGGGGTGGGGAAAGGGGCGCGAGCTGTCACCTCTCGAAACCCACTTACACACGCCCTCGGCCAGCTGCCCGGTCCCGGGCGCCCGGGGGCATCTGGGGCTCTGTCCCGGGGCCGGCCCCCTGGGGACCTCCCGCAGTATTCGGCCTACCTCTGGGCTCTCCAGTGCCCGGGGTCTCCGGGGCACCACCTCTTGCCGGCTCCGCGGCGCGCGAGCCCCCTCCCAGGCCCCCCTGTGCCTCCTTGTGCTCCAGAAACCAGGAGTTTCCGCCTCGGCTCCCCCATGTCCCCTTGTCATCCCCTGGGTCCCCCCAGATCCTCACCCCTCCACACACACTCTCCCCTTCCTAGAGGTTCCACTTCTGGGCTCTCCCCTTGCCATTTCTTTTCCAGAGATTCCCGTAGTTGTCTTCTCCTGAGTTCCTGGTCCCCTCCTCTTCCCTTGCACCCCTCCTTCCTCTCGTTCCCGATAGGGGCAGTGCCCTGACTTGGGGGCAGGATCCCCGGCTAGGCTCTTGGGGCCTGTCTGGGATGGGATATCTGGGAAGACCGGTCCGGGATCTAAGAACCCAGACCCTGTCCCAGTCCTGTGCATTCAGGTGGCCCCGAGGGCCAGATCAAGTGAGGTCCGGGCCTGGTCCAGCCCTAGGTGAGCTGGACACCCACCAAACTGAGCTCCCAGGCTGAAGGGGCATAGCTGGGGTCATGGAGTTCGTGATGATTCTGCTGCTTTCGCTGACTGCTTCTTCCCCTTGATCTGGACTGGAGTGAACCGGGGTTCTCAGCTGTTGTGATTGTTGCCTTTTTTGGGAAGGAGCGATGGGTCAGGGGTTGTCTGGTAGCCGCCTCCTGATGGAGAGTTGGCTGGAAGGGTGGGTGGTTCCTGCGTGAGCCACACTTCCACAGACTCCTTTTCCCCCGCCCTACCTCAGGAAGCCTTTTGAGAATGAGGTGTGGAGGGAGAGCACCTGGTGAAAGGAAGGGAACTGGGGGAGCCCGAAGTTCCCAAGGGTCTCTTCCACCTCTTCTGTTGGTAGTACTCTTAACCCCTGCCAAACTGTATTCTGCCCTTTGGAGCAGACCACCTGGCAGACAGACTGTGAGAAGGGGGAGGAGATCAGCTGTTGCTGATACTTCCTGTGGAGGGGATGGGGGAGTGGGAGTTTGTTCAGAGAGGCTGGGCAGTGCTGATTGCTCAGTCTCACTGATGTAGCTTCGGTGAAGGTCAAGTCTTCCTCTGGCTCATGAAGGGAGGCAAGGACAGATGACCTGTGCTGGAGGAGGCTGTTGTGGACATGACAGGGATGAGTGACTGGGTGACTGGTCTCTGCTTCCTTGTTTTCCTGGTCTCAGGGCTTTGGCATGGGGTCTCATGCCCCCTGCCTTCTAGGGACCATAGGGTATAGAACAGGGGGCGCAGGGCCGGGCGTGGTGGCTCACACCTGTAATCCCAGCACTTTGGGAGGCTGAAGTGGGCAGATCACGAGGTCAGGAGTTTGAGACCAGCCTGGCCAACACGGTGAAACCCCGTCTCTACTAAAAATACAAAAAATTAGCCAGGCATGGTGCTGCGTGCCCGTAATCCCCACTACTCGGGAGGCTGAGGCAGGAGAATTGCTTGAACCCAGGAGGCAGAGGTTGCAGTGAGCCGAGATCACACCATTGTACTCCAGCTTGGGCAAGAAGAACAAAACTCAGTCTCATAAAAGCAAAAAAAAAAAACAGAGCAGGGGGCGCAGGAAATGTTCATGACTTCCCCCCAGAACTTGACTAGATGTGGTGGTTCTCCATCCCATAGGCACACCCACCAGGAAACCAGTTCCTTTGCAAACTCTGAGTGGCCTTTCTGAACTGTAGGGGATCCTGGGGATCACTCCCGTGGGTAAGAACTCAGGGAAGTGGCCAGACCCTGGGTTGCTGCCTGGTTTGGCCTGGACCTTGCCTGCAGGAGTTGGAAGGAAATCATCCTGGTTCCTGACTTCCTCCTCTTCGAGTAGAGGTGATTCTAGGTTTTCACATGGAGAAACTGAGGCACACACTGATGGGCCAAGACCTCTTGGAGATTCAGGTGGGATGGATGTGGGGCTCTAGAGCCCAGCACACGGTCTCTCCATGCCTTGACTCATTCATTCATTCATTCATTCAGCCATTCTTTAGAAAGTGCCCGTCTGGGGCCTGGGATGGCTGGGAAAACATCCCTGTCCTCCTGAGAACTGCATTCTGGGAGGAGAGGCAGACCGGAAGACACATAAGTTCTGATACACTGTGGCCACCATATTAATGGAAATATTACAGAAGCAGCCCAGAGGAAGAAGGAATTAGCTCGGGGTGGGTATGTAGCGGGTGGTCAGGGTATGCTTTCTGGAAGAGAAGGGACTAGAATAATCAGTGACGGAGTCCATGGGCCCACGTTCTGGACCTGGCTCTGCCACGGGCAGGTGATTGGACCACACAGCCTCAGTGGGTGCCTCATCCTTGATACGGAGGGTAGAGTGAGGTAGAGGTTGGCTTGGATAGCCTCTGTGACTATATAGCTGTAGGTGCTTTACTGCCTAGTCACCCCCCCCACCCCATGTGGAATTGCGGGGTTGTTGACCTACTTCCCATGATGGCGGAGACCATCTTCCATGTCTGTCCTCCCAGCACAGTGCCTGGAACTTAGTGTAGTAAATAAATACGCAGTGGTAGAAATGTTGGAAAAACAGCCATCCCTCCTAGATCAGTCCAGGTGTCTTTGTCTGCCCCCGCCCTCCTCCTTCCTGGGTAACTCCTGCTGATCCTTTGGCTGTCTCTGGTGGCTGGGCCACTCTCCTAAGCTCCCGGCTCCCTGAAACCCGTGTATTGTGGTAATCACACCTCTTTCCCCACCCTGCCACCCCCATGCACAGTTCTGCACAGTGTCTGGCGCATACGGAGTAGATGCTCACTGGAGGCTGGTTGACTGTCGGAGGTGATGGGTTGATTTGGTGTTTAAGTTGGAGTCTGGGCAGAGGCTGGTTGACCCAGCCACCCCGCTGTGGCTCATCTCTTGCCACTTCCCCTCTCTGGCTCTGGATCTTGCCATGTCGAGCCCTGAAGCCTTCTCCGGATGCCATGTCTTCTCTCCTCCAGGTAAAGATGTGCTGTTCCTCCTGCCTGGAATGTTCTCTTTCCAGCTCCTACTCTTAGGAGTCAACTCAGACAACTCCTCCTCCAGAAGGCCTTCCCTGACCCGACTAGTCTGGGTCTGGCGCTTCTCCTGGCTCCCCCGCAGCAGAGCTCTGAGCTCTCAGGCCATCGCTACTGACTTGGCACCTCCTCAATTGACCAGGTTCTGGAGGGTGGTGCTCTGTCAGAACCTCTCTTGTCCACCAGGTGCGGTGGCTCATGCCTATAATCCCATTACTTTGAGAGGCCGAGGCGGGCAGATCGCTGGAGATCAGGAGTTCGAGAGCAGCCTGGCCAACATGGGGAAACTCTATCTCTACTAAAAATACAAAAATTAGCCAGACTTGGTGGTGCGTGCCTGAAATCCCATCTACTCGGGAGGCTGAGGCAGGAGACTCACTTGAATGCGGGAGGCGGAGGTTGCAGTGAACCGAGATCGCACCACTGTACTCCAGCCTGGGTGACAGAGTGTGACTCTTGTCTCAAAAAAAACCTCTTTTGTCACCCCAGAGCCCAGCCAAGGGCCTGCTACCAAGCAGGCTCTCAGGAAGTGCTGGCAGTGCGGCAGGTAACTGCGACAGTCACACATGTGCCTGCTGACGGCAGCTCTCGCTTCCTTGTAGGGAGGCAGCGTCCATGGAGCAAAAGGAATGCCAGGACCCTGCCCGGGCAGACGCCGGCCAGCCTCAGCACCGACAGCCGACGCGCAGATAGCAGAGCCGTCCTTGGGGTAAGGACTGGGCCCCTCTCCTTCCCGGCCAGCTCCAGCTCCAGTCGAGTGCCCTTCCCAGCTTGGGGAACAAACGGTAGCATCTCTGTCCCCACAGTCCTTTGCTCTTCTTACTGTAGGTTCAGGGCAGAGTGGCAGACAGCAGAATTACTGTCTTCTTCCTTCTCCCGCTGAGTAATGTCTGCTTGCTGCATTCATTGACTGCTAAGTTGTTTCGTTGCAAACCTCTGTTTTTGCTCCCTCACCCCAGATCTTATCAGTCTGGGTTTTGCTAATGCAGCCTCATGACCACATTTCCCAAAAAAGCGTGAACCACGTTTCCCAAGTGTGTTCCATGAGACACCAGTTTCTTCGGTCACAGTGTTCGTTCCGGGAAACAAAGACTTCTTGTTATCCTTGCTGTAGGACTTATCCGAGCCTTGAATGGATTGAGCTGACCACGATAACGGAGCTAGCGACTCATGTTTCCCCACACTTATTTGATTGTGTAGACATCTTTGGGGACTGGGATTCCTTGGCCTGTGCTTTGGAAAACAGTTCCCAGAGGCAGGAGAGTCCCTTGAGAGCATGTGGGGGATTAAATTATGTTGACATAGAGCAGGCAGTTGGCAGAGTGCTTGTCCTAGAAGGTGGTCGTGAGTCATAGCTGGTGTATGTATAGATGGCTGTATAATTTTCCAAACATACTCAGGTCGGTGATCTCATTTGACCATTTGAGGATGCTCAGGCAGTGGTCATTATCTCCAGTTTACAAATGTGGAAACTGAGGATCAGAGTGAGGAAGCAACTTGCCCAGACTCATCTGTAAAGAAGGCAAGGACATGCGGCTTGAATCCAGACCCTGGAATCCTGGGCCAGGGCCCTTTGTTCTCTGCCCTGAGGCCTCCCTGCCTTTACGTCTCACCTCAGTTTTTTGTGTGAAGAAAGGCCTGAGTCTCCCAGCCTGGATTTTAAAAGAAATAGTAATTTTTTTTTTTTGTCATTACCAACATAGTTGCATATTCATTGTATGTTTTTATACTGTTTGGCTATTTTTGGGGGACAGGGTCTCACTCTGTTGCCCAGGCTGGAGTGCAGTGGCACCATCATGATTCAGCCTCGATCTCCAAGGCTCCGGTGATCCTCCTGCCTCAGCCTCCTAAGTAGCTGGGACTACAGGTGTGCACCACCGTGCCCAGCTAATTTTATTTATTTATTGTGGAGATAGAGCCTCTCTACATTGCCCAGGCTGGTCTCGAACTCCTGGGTTCAAGAGATCCTCCTACTTCGGCCTCCCAAAGTGCTGGGATTACGGGTGTGAGCCACCATGCCAGGCCTGTTTGGATCTTTAATGTCATCTAGGAAATGAGGCTCCGCTGATTCCCATCTTCAGAGGTGTGAATGGGAAGGGATATACTCTTCCACATCTGTTACTACCATTTGCTTATTTTTATATGAATCTGGTCATGTTTGAGTTGCTGATTCACAGCTTGCTTTTGTTTCATTTAATGATATCCCCTGGACCTCTTTCCCATGCAAGAGGTAGATAGAGTTGTGTGTGGTCCTGGCAGAATGCACACCCCCGAGACCCCCCCGGCCCCTCCCCCTCACATGCTGAGAGTTTTGAGCTGTTTGGGCATTTACAGCAGCAGAGGGAGGTGGGAAGTGCCTGGTGTGTGATTGTGTCCACTCTCCTGTTTATGGGACAAGGTCAGCCAACTCCTGGCTCTGCCCTGTAGGAGTTTCCTGTTGGTTTTGAGGAACTCTGTCCCCTGGAGAGAGGGGAGGCCTGAACTGTAGTCTTTCATGCTGGGCAGCGCTGAGCAGGAAGCAGCATGTCCTGCTTGTCAGATCATAATTCCTCCTCCTTGCCAAGGATGGTGTGGAGTGAACCGCATGGGCCCGCCTGAGGGGTCTTGGCCTCCACTCACCGCCTGGGTTCAGGGGACACACACGAATCAAGCTGAGACAAATTGAGTCTGAGCCATTGTTCTCCTGAGCCCGGCCCTTCCTGGGGACGGGAAGGAACAGGCAGACCCTGACTCAGTTTACCCTTGCTGTCTCTGGAGAAAGCGTTGGTTGTGGTCCTTTTGGCATGCTCCTTTCAAGTTTTAGTTCTGAGAGTGGGCAGGTGAGGAGCAGGAGGAGGGTCCACCCTGCTGCCTGGGTCCAAAGATGCTCTCTTTTGGGGTATAGCTGACCTCAGGAAGGGTTTGGGCAAGGAGAGTGTACAGGCGTGGCAGCCTCATTTTGTGGGGCTGCGAGAGCGTCTGGCAGGATCGCGCTGGGAGTGAGGTCTGTGCTGGAGCTCCTGACATCTCACCTGTGTTTCTCAGGCTCACTGTCCTGTCGCTGTCCCTCCCCCATGTCACTTCCTCCATTCTACCCTAGGAGTCTCTTTTCTTTCCCATACACTGCTTGGGAGAGAGCCGCGGAGCTGGCCGCTCCACAGATGGTGCTCAGCATCTCCGGCTTCTCCTCCTTCCTGCAGTAGCACCTTCACAGTCCGTGGTCATCCTCAGCACCGTGTCTCAGTGCTAAGCCGCATGCTGGGATGCTGCACGAATTTGCCCATCTTACCTTCGCCACAGCCTTGTGTGTGAGGTTGCTTTACCATTTTACAGACCAAG